GAAGGGGAAGGGGAAGGGGAAGGGGGAGGAGAAAGGGAAGGGGAAGGGGAAGGAAGGGGAAGGGAAGGAGAAGGAAGGGGAAGAGAAAAGGAAGGGGAAGGAAAGGGAAGGGGAAGGAAGGGGAAGAGAAGGGAAGGAAGGGGAAGAGGAAATGAGAGGAAAGGGGAAGAGGAAACGAAGAGGAAGGGGAGGAAAGGGGAAGAGGAAATGAAGGGAAAGGGGAAGGAAGGGAAAGGGAAGGGAAAGGGGAAGAGGAAGGGGAAGGAAGGGGAAGAGGAAAGGAAGGGGAAGAGGGGGAAAGGGGAAGGAAGGGAAAGGGAAGGGAAAGGGGAAGAGGAAGGGGAAGTGGAAGAGGAAGGAAGGGGAAGGGAAAGGGGAGGGGAAGGAAGGGGAAGGGGAAGATGGGGAAGGGAAGGGGAAGGAAGGGAAACAGGAAAGGAAGTGGAAGGGGAGGAAAGGGGAAGGGGAAGGAGAAGAGGAAGAGGAATGGGAGGGGAAGGAAGAAGATGGGAAAGGGAATGGGAAGGGAAGAGGAAGGAAGGAGAAGAGGAAAGGAAGAGGAAGAGGAAAGGAAGGGGGAAGGGGAAGGAAGGGGAAGAGGAAAGGAATGGGGAAGAGGAAGGAGGAAGGGGAAGAGGAAAGGAAGGGGAAGTGGAAGGAGGAGGGGAAAAGGAAGGGGGAGGGGAAAAGGAAGGGGAAGGGGAAAGAAGGGAAAAGGGAAAGAAGGGGAAATGAAGATAAAAGGAAGGGGAAAGGAAGGGGAAGAAGAAGAGGAAGGGGGAGGAAAGGAAAGAGGCAAGGAAGAGGAAGAGGAAGGGGAAGGAGAGGGGAAGGGAGAGGACTGAAAAAGGCTTTTTAAGGCAGGCCAATATGAAACAGAAGTGGATCCACTCTGTGGGAAACAGGCTGACTTGGGTCTGTGAGAGAAATCCCTGAGGCCGGGAAGAGACAGGGACCTGCTCCTACCCCTGGAGCTGTGAGGAGGGGAACAGATCCACTCAGATCCAGAGGATGTTAAAGGGACTGGATCTGGCAGCAGCCCCTGTAGAAGTTGGTGTCTTTTCTCAGGAGGGGCTGAAGGGGCAGGGAAGCTAATTTCCTTTGCAGAAAAGGCCAAGGAAGGTCAATCAGAGCAGGGATCTGTGAGAAAAAGGAGGCTCTGCAGAGGGGTGGGCAGGGAGGGCTGGGACCCCTCTCTGTGCAGTGTGAGGGGCACAGAGCCAGGCTGAGCTCGGGCAGCAGGACACAGACACACCCTGGGCACCCACTGCTCCTTGAGGCAAGGGGGCCTAGGCAGGGGGAAGCCAGGCTGGCTTCCCAGCCCTGGTTCCTGCCCTCACCTTCCCGCCAGCTCGACACCCTCACCTTCGGCACCCCCGGTTACTGGGCTGGGTGTCCCATGGTGGGACAGGAGTTGGCAGCCCCCGAGGGAAGTGCAAGTGGTGGGGAAGCCGCAGGCTGAGCCTCCCACACAGAGGGGTTTGCCAGAGAGGACCCTGCCACCCCTGCCTCTGAGTGCCAGAGAGATCCTGGTCATAGAGCCGTGGAATCACAGAATGGTTCCGGTAGGAAGGGACGCCAAAGATCACCAAGTCCCGACCCCCCTGCCATGAGCAGGGAACTCTACCCCTAGGCCAGGCAGCACAAAACCTCACCCAACCTGGCCTTAAAAACCTCCAGGGATGGGGCATCAACCTCCCTGGGCAACCCATTCCAGTTCCTCATCACCCTGATAGTGAAGAATCTCTTCCTAATATCTAACCTAAATCTCTCCTGTTTCAGTTTAAAAACTATTACCCCTTGTCTTCTCCACAATCCCCACTATCTTCTCTGATGAAAAGCCCCTTCCCAGCTTTCATGACTCCCTGCAGTGCTCCTCCCATGCAAGTAGCTGTTCAGTACTGGTTTGGGTGCATAGACAGGTCGTCTTCCTTGGTCTGCAACAAGGAGGGAATCCAGCCTCAGAGGAGAAGGTTTCATTGGAACTGCTATACCAAAGGGCTGGGCTGGGGGGGAAGATGGACCAGCCTGCAGAGCTGGACCCAGAACGCTCAGGATGGTCAGGACCGGTCCCAGTGTGACACTTGCACTCCTTCAGGGGAAAGGCTGATGTTCCAAGGGCACACTGGAGGGACCCCATGCTCCCCTGACTACCCTTGTCTGGCCACCTCTCTGGGGCCCTGCAGCGGGGAGCAGGCTGCTTTGCCAGGTACCTGTGGGGCAGGAGAGAGGTTCGGTTGCAGGTGGGCGAGGGCCGGGGTCTGCAGGATGTGCTGCCTCTCCTCTGTTTTGCAAAAAAAATTCCTGCTCCCCATCCTGGTCTGTGCAGCATCACTGTCCCTCTCCCTCCGTGCTCCCAGGTGCTGCCTTTGGGTGGTCCAGGTTCCTTCTTCCATGCTTTTCTCACAGACCTGCCTGTTCACGCGGGGGACAGCAGCTCTCCGGGTGACTTCCCAAGCCAGAGGGTACGAGGGCAAAGCACTCACGGCCAGGTCATGGGCAGGACGTGCTGCATGGGGATCAGTGCCAGGTACAGCCACAGCACCTCAGCTCTGTCCTCAGCAGAACTCCCTCCTTCAGCCGTGGTGCAGCAGCCACCCCAATCCCCTCCTGCCACCTCCCACTGCCTGGGCTGGACAGTCACTCTCTCAGCAGCTTCAGCCCAGCACTGCAAAGCACAGGTAGCCCCTGCCCTGGGCAATTGTCCTGGCGTGCCTGCCAGCACTGGAGACCTGGTGGCCAGCAGGAGCCTTGGAGAGGTGTCCACAGAGGTGCTGCTCCCTGCTTACAGCACAGGCAGTATCACAGGAGAGCTCTGAGCTACAGCTTCTGAGGTGGGCATCCCTCAGAGGGAGCTCACATGCCTGGGACAGACTGGACCCCCAGTCTCTGTTGTCCTGTCAGCAGATGGTCTCATTTTCCTCCATG